TATATATATATATATATAGGTATTCCAATAACTTGGACCGATTTTAAATGTAAATTAAGTTTAAGCGTCAAATGATTTTTTCTTTTTCTTACAGATTTAACAACTTAAGTCTTTCGCAGTTTTAACCCTGGAAAGATTACCAATCGAATAACGTGTAAAGTTATCGAAGTCTATTACGAAAATGAACGTTCAAACAGAATTTGAATGAGAAGTTCCCAGGTTGCATCATCTCTCGAAATACCGACGGTTGCTCTAAATTTATTAAGCCTTATTATTTTATGTTTTTTTTTTGTTCTACGTTTTGGCATTTGACATTACTAGATTTTATTTAGTCTTTTTAGTCGTAATATAATGGTAGATGGTATAGTATGGATTTCTTTTAATGTCTGTATTTGAAAATAAGCTGCGTTATATATAAGCGAAGTCAATTGGCTACCACGATCGTGCGACTTGACACCATTAGATTTCTTCCTTTAGGGTCATGTCAAAAGTAAGGTCTATGCCAACAAGCCAACAACAATTCAACAGCTGAAAGATGATATAATAAGGCATATTGGTGAGATCGAGTTGCAACTATGCAGAGACGTCATCAAAAATTTGGAACATCGAGTGGAGGCGTGCCGCCGAAGTCTTGGACAATAATTTTTTTCAAACATAATTGCCATGACTTAAATAGCATGATCCAATAGAGAAATAAATAAATTTTGTTGTTAAAGTTTAAATCAGCAATTATCATGTGACCAGGAACGTATTAATCCATTTTACATTGATACCTATAGAAAAATAGTTTCGATTTAACACACGTTTTGGGTTACGAACGGGCTTCACGAACGAATTAAACTCGTGAACCGTAGCTGCACTCTATATAAAATATAAAAATGAATGTAATAAACAATAAATAAATATGTAAATAAAATAAACAATCCAAATGTCGTAACCATGAATGACGGAAAGCTCTGTATTTTTAATTAAACAGTTTAATAAAATGGATTAAATGCGACAATTATTTGACAATTTCTCGAACATTCAGGCCGGTAAATGTAATTAATAGTGCCTAATTAAAAAAAACAGAGTGCATTTACTTAAATAAATTATATCTAATCCATTCCATAATATGTTGCCATTGTTTACGTTAAGATACGTTTCGTGAGCAGAAATGATCGATCGAGAAAAATCAATGATGGTGTGTGTTTATAAACAGTAATTCGGACATTGTAAACCGGACGCTTCTTTGTGGCTGAATGGTTAACGGTACATCAGATCAAATGACGGTTTCTATTCGGGTTACAGGTTCGATTCCTGTCGGAGATCGCATATTTTCTATGATAATTCTCGAACATTCAGGCCGGTAAATGTAATTAATAGAGTTAAATTAAAAAAAAACAAACAAAAAAAAAAAAACAGATCATTTACTTAAATAAATTATATCCATAAAAATAACATATAATCAGAAAATATATTAAATAATTGCCGGACTTAATCCATTTCATAACTTGTTGCCTATATATAGTGCCCACTAAAGCAGTTGTGACATTTGGCATGAAGATCGTTTGAGACGTGGAACTGACAGTCACCATACAGTGTTGATTCTTAGTTTCACTTTCCCTCCCCGCCTCTATCTCTCCATGCTTCACCTGTCTTAATGTATGTTTTCGCCAATCTCTTTCTCTTCTTTTTTTTTTTTTTAACTGTTTCATGTTGCTATATTCATTTATTTTGTGCTGCCATTTTGTGACTGGTATCTGGACCGTCCATTTGTCTCCGGTGGGGCCTCTCGATGCCATGATGATGGATACTGTTAAGGTAGTATCTCCTGGCGAATCAACGTTTATTTATACGTGCATCTCCAACAGGTGTCTGTTTCACTGCCCACTATTCGTCCACCAAACCAACCAAAACAAACATGAACGTAATCAAATTGAAAACGAACAAAACTAGAAAACCCGACCTAAAAAAAAATTGTAGACGTCAGGTATACCTTTTCTTACACTGATGTAAGGGGTCTACATTCCAACCTTATAGACGTGGAACTCCATCTTCAGGCTAAACCTGACCCCCTGTTCCTGTTTGAAACGAGTATCAATGCCTCAATTCAATTGCAGGAGCTCACAATCCCGGGCTACAAACCCATTATATCAAAATACGACCGCCTCAATCGCCCCGGTCACGGGCACTGTACCTACATCAAGGACGGGTTACCCTGTAGCAAAGACGCAAAAAAGAGGACACTGATCTCCCGTATATGTCTTTCCACGTAGCACTTAAATATAGTACCACATTCGTCTTTGCCCTGTATCGTCCTCAGTATGAAGGTTCAGTAATCTTCGAGCGAATATCAGATAGATTTACAATATTCTCACCAAATTTCCCTCGGCCAATTTTCACATATGCGGTGACTTCAATGCTCACCACAAATAGTAGTTAGTCCACTCTAACAAAACCCATGAGGAAGGCAGATATTGTAGAGACTTATCCATCTCATATGAACCAACCTACATCATTGAAGAACCCACCCAAGGTCCGGATGCAACGGTACAGTTGCGAAACTCCACGACCTTTTCTAACATCCTGCCTTGACATGTGCTCTGCAGCAGTTTTAGCCTCCATTAGCACGTCGGATCATTCCCTAGTCAGTGTCTAGATTGACTCCAAACCAATGACATCTCACGATTTATTGTTCCATAGAACAGTTTTTCGGTATGCGACAGATTTCTGTCCTATATGACGGAAGCACCTCTCCCAAACTTCTTCAAACATCCAGCCTCCAAAACCTGCCCTAATCTCCGAATGTATGTTTACTGGCATGGATTGCTTTATACCCCCAAACTTCCAGCAACAACCATTCAATCCTAGTTCACTCCTGAATGCACTGCAGCCATAGCTCACCGGGACTACTACTTTAAAATATATCGCACGGAGTGTACACCAGTAGTCTGTTCATTACTTCTTTCAGAACAGCCCGCAATCGCTCTAAGCGAGTCCTGAAAAACGCAAAGTACAGTTATGTACGATCTGTCCAGGCCAAGGTTGAAAAGAAACAAATTGGATCTCACGATTTCTTGAAGATCACCAACCAAATGATGAACAGAGGCAAAGTGGCTGTACCCACTATTATAAATGGCTCCGAAGTAATATCCTCCTCGACAGACAAGGTGAAGCCAAACGCCTCGATCTTTGCCTGAAACCCAACCTTAGATAACAAAGGCTACCAACTTCCCAACTTCCCACGTCTCACTGAGCACAATCGCAGTAATATACGCATTTCAGTAAGAGAAGTCTCTAGACTTATCAAAAACTTCGACCCCGTCCCAGAAAAAAAGCCACTGGTCCAGACAAAATTCCAGTGATGTACCTTAAGTATATCAACCCAGAATTATCCCCTATTCACGCTAAGATATTTAATCGTTGCATGAAGGAGAAATCTTTCTCAAGTATATGGAAGGTGACAAGTGTATTCCCGGTCTTCAAGAACGCGGGCAACCGATCCTCCCACTCCTAGTATAGACACATTAATCTCTTCAGTAACATCAGTAAACCTTTTGAGGCCTTAACCAACAAGAAGGTCGTCGAGAACCGTTAGCGCGGCCAATTAGAGAGACCATACTGCACATTTTTGAAGTTTGAAGATATAGTTTATACTGGGCCCATCTGGCTTGTAGTGAAATGCCACTGAATAAGATTCTGTACCGTGAACCCCTTAAAGAGGATCTTTGTATCTCTTTCATAACATTTTTCTATTGTGTTGACCGGAGACTAGCACATCGAACAGGTATCTTTGAAGGTTGATGATCTTCTATCTTCGACATGTGCAGTTTTGATTTTTGCTACATTGCCTCAATATTGAAGGAATTGGCATTCTTCAAGATTTTAATATTTGTGATATATTGATTCAGCTGTTAGGCAGATGCATTCAAACAGGTGCCAACAGATGATCTGAAATTCTGCACCGTGTGTAGATAATATGACAGCTATATAGATGTTTATTTAGTAGCTTTTATTAAATTCTTATTGAGCCAGATTTCGTTTCGTCTACCAAAGACTTGGTTTGCCTTTGCTGACTTCATCCTGTTTCTCTAGCTATCCATCTGTGAATATGACACGTTATAGATAGGAAGTTCTGAATGACGTTCAGGTTAGACGAGACAATATATACAGAAGTTGAGTGGTACTCTTGACGGGATTCAGGTTTTTTGAAGATGAGTTTTCTTCAGATTGTTTTCCAAATCGTAGAGTGCTTTTGCAAACTACGTCGTCGTTACTTGTTGTGTGGTCGACTGTGAACAGAAAAATTTACGCTAGTTTTATAGTTGCCTTCATGTGGGCCTGCAGTTATTTTAGACTGAAAACGATGCCGTCTGAATGTACGTAGATATGTGTAGTAGATGTGAAAGTTTTTCATTGTTGCCGCACATCTCCAATGAGACCTGAAATTTCTCCCCCAACTGACTTTTTAAAAAAATTGACGAAATGAACTAAAATGCGATTATTTTTGAAAGGCTCTCTTGGTCAGATCTAGGTAGATGAGTAGTATTTCCAGGATAGCTCTTCTTTTTGATCGTGCATCCCAGAAGTCGTCAAATACGATATTTCCCCTGGATTGAATCACAAAATTTTACCTTTTTTAGTGTATTTCATGCAGCGTCATTTTAGGATGTCTTGTTATATATTTCCTTCTGTTACTGTAACAGTCCACTGTAGACGGAAGTGCATAATGTTTTCAATGGAAAATGATTTATCAGATCAGAATAATTTCTGTACGAAGCTTTCTTAACATCATCAGTTGGACTGATTCAAAACCATTTGAAATGATCGATTGCTTTAGACTGAAAGGCTTTTAGCTTAACTTCCTCATCATTGGCGCTTATTTGATGAATTCCTTGTTCTTACCATTCGCTCGTCTTCAATTTAATTACTATCGTTTTTCTTTGTCCATTTCTTTCGTATTGCTTCGATTTGGTGCTAGTGAGGAGGTAAATTCTTCATTAATGGTTCTAATAGCACTAGGATGAAAATAATAGTATTGCTGGTGAAAAGATGGAGAACGAATCCAAGAGTGTTAGAGAAGGAGTGAAAATGATGAGAGAAGGACTAGTGAGTGAAAGTGAGCAACAAATGGAAAGGAAAGAGAGAAGAGGTGGGAAAAAGGAGAAGAAGACGCAGTAAGGGATCAAAAGAAATAAAAAAGAGAAGAAAGAACGAAAGAGTAAACTAGAAATAATAAAGAAAATATTTAAAAAAAATTGAGGAACATAAAATTAAAAAAAAATTAAAAAATATCATTAAGAAAGATAAAAAAACAAAAAATAGACGTAAAACAATTAATATATATATATATATATATATATATATATATATATATATATATATATATATATATATATTAAACGATTTAAAACGTTAGATTCATAAAAATTAAAAATATCTTTAAATATTAAGAAACATAACATAATTATTTTGAAACATTAAAACATTGACAGGTGTAATAATTTAAATTAAAAAAATATATTTTAAATCTTCGAAACTTTAAGAAACAAAATTAAATAAAGTATTTATAAAATTTTAAAAACATTACCAATCATAAATATTAAAAAAAAAAAATATTTCTAAATATTAAAACATAAAAAATATAAAATATTTTAAAAAGATTAAATCATTAAGAAACATAATAATTAAAAATAGAAATATTTTTAGAATATGAACAAATATGAAAATTTAAAAAAATTACAAACGTGAAAATAAAAAAGGAAAATATTTCTAAATTTTAAAACATGAAGAAATATGAAAATAAAACGATATTTAAAAAATTTAAAACACGAAGAAACATTAAATAAATAAAATGATAAATTTTAATAACAGAATATTTTAGTATTAAAATTCGTACTAATGTTATCCTTAATAAAGAACAGCATAAAAAACGTAAATATTGATATAAAACTTCAAAAAATATAAAAAAGGAAATAAAATAGTTTGAAAGCAAACGATAGCATAAAAATGTTAAATAAAGATAAACGTTCCAAAAATTAGAAATAAAAAGCAACAAAACATCGTAAAAGGTAAGAAAAATGAAAGGAAAGAAATCCATTTATAAATCAGAATCTTTATAACTTAAAACATTAAAAATATTTAAAACATTAAAACCAAGAAAAAAAAGGTAAGTATAAAAAAACAAAAGAAAAATAAAATGTAAAAAAGTGGGAAAGATTAAAGAAATAAAAGATATCAATAATATTAATAATAATAATTATATATATATATATATATATATATATATATATATATATAAGCCCGAATTTATAGTTCGAATTGTAAACAGTGACTGCTACTGCTGATAATGCAACGCTCTTTTATGAATTGCGAACTCTGAATCACTGGCGTGTTTATTAAAAAATAAATACGTAAAAATTCATCTTCCACCCTGCAAGGAGATGATAGGTTAAGGGGAAAATTCTCGGACTGATGCTAAATCCTGACGTGAGGCAATCTGAATGTCTATTCACACTGATGAGCTGTGATACAGCGAAACAGTCTGTCAGTGGATGACAAAGATATATATATATATATATATATATATATATATATATACACACGAAGAAGAAGAATAAAATGAAAAAAAAGAAGAAATAATAATAAATAAATAAGACACGAATGGAATGTGTGGAAAGGAAAAGAGTCAAATAAAGTTATGTTACTAAATAAATAAGTTGATGCAAGAAGAGATAATTCATTATTTTCCGTATGAGACGAAAAAGAGTTTGTTATTATTCAATTCCCCGGCTTTTGTTTTCTTGCAAAAACAAATGTAACAGAGAGCGATATCGCCACTAGTCCTACATCAAGCACAATACGTATGATAAATAAATAAATAGGAAATCGTTTATGAAAGAAAGGAGAATGTACAGATCGTATATTTCTCGTTGATTTACATATTGCGAGTAGATTTTTATTAAATAAATACATCAACATATGCATTCACTCCAACTGTTAAGCTGTGGAGATAATTAGATAAAGAGGAAATGCTTTATTTCCACGCTTGTTTGGATATTATTTTTCAGGTTCATAAAAGCACTGGACGTTATTTTTTAATTGAGGCTCGCCGACCGTTGGATTTCTATAAGAAGTGAATGTTGGCACATGGTTAACTTAATACTGTCCTTCCAACTCCTTGTTCGGCCTGAGGGACTTAAAATTGGTACTACTTGTTATCCATAGCAAATAAAAGTCACTCCCTTCGTCTAAGCAGCCACAGGAAAAAGAATATCTTCGCCAGTCATGCTCGTATGTATCACTTTGAATTTCATTTTATATTCATTTCATTTTACTTCATTCTCTCTATCTCTCTCCGTCCTGGGTATGAAGATAAACTACTTCCGCATCCTGGGTAAGACGATAAACTACATCCGACAGCGGGTCTTTGGTCAGGGTCTTTTAGGAGCGTGGAACCGCCTCTTTGGTCACTGGTGTTCCCGGGTCCGCCCTGACCCGGGGTGGCGGCACCTGTCAGCATCTCAGCTATGGGCAAGTAGTTTATCCCCCACCCGTAAGTGGTCAAGGCACTGTGAAAGCATAAAAATAGTTTTTAATACCAGCAATACTTATTTGGAAAAATTATTTCCAGCAGCCAGTCAGTTATGTGCAATGCTTGATACATGCTTATGCGATCATGTATCTTTCGATACATGACTTACAAGGCAGATTTTTTTTTTCCCGCAGTGGGTTACAATTTTTTTCTGCGGTAGACCAGTTGCCATCCAAGGCTATAGAACCCGATCTGTCCTGCTATTTACCAACAGCTGGGTGGAGAAGAGGAGGATTCATACTTTTCCCATGGTATGAATTCACGATTGGAATTCGAACTCGACTCTCCGATTTCTCAATCCGAGCCGCTACATTTGGGGAAAAAAGTTATTACCAGCAATACATTTTTGAAAGAAAAAAATTAAATAACCCATTGAGGTTGATATGCAGTAAAACAAAATAAACCAAACAAAACCAAATAGTTACCCCTAAACTGGAGTCAAAACACTATGAAAGTGTAAAAATAGGTTTTAATACCAGAAATACTTTGTAAAAAAATTATTGCCAGCAATACATTATTACCAGACATACATTTTGGAAAAAAATATTGCCAGTGATACATTCTGAAGAAAAAACATTAACAGAAATAGATTTTTTAAAGAAAAAAAATATTATCAGAAATAGATTTTTGAAAGAAAAAAAATATTACCAGCAATACATTTTTGAAAAAGAAAAGAAACCAAACCAAACCAAACCAAAACAAACCAAACCAAAATGTCTCCTTTTCTCACTGTCTATCTCTTTTCCTTGGTACTAACCTTTACTTTTTTTTTTTTTTTTTTGTAATTAATTTTATTTTACCCTCTTTGAAAACTTTGCTATTTACAATTGGAATTCGAACTCGACTCTCCGGTTCCTCAATCTGAGCCGATACATTTTTTGAAAAAAAATATTACCAGCAATTCATTTTTTAAAAAAGTATTTCCAACAATACATTTTTTGAAAAAATATATTTGCAGTAATAAAAATCTTGTCGGCATTAAGTAACCCATTGAGGTTAATATGCCGTAAACCAAACCAAACCAAACCAAACACTCTCCCTTTCACACTATCTATCTCTTTTCCTCGGTACTAACGTTTCCTTCTTTTTTTGTTGTAATTGAATTTATTTTAACCTCTTTGAAAACTTTGCTATTTAACCATAGCTGAGGGGAGAAAAAGAGGATTCATGCCTTTCCCAAGGTATGAATTCACGACTGGCATTCGAACTTGACTCTCCGATTCCTCAATCTGAGCGGCTATATTTTTTTTTTAAATTATTACGGGCAATATATTTTTGGAAAAAATATTACCATCAATACATTTAAAAAAAAAAATATGTCCAACAATACATTTAAAAAAAAAATATTACCAGCAATAAAAAACTTGTCGGTATTAAATAACCCATTGAGGTTGTTATACCGTAAAACAAAACAAACCAAACCAAACTGTCTCCCTTTCTCACTGTCTATCTCTTTTCCTCGGTACTAACGTTTCCTTCTTTTTTGTAGTTGAATTTATTTTACCCTATTTGAAAACTTTGAATATTAAGTCTTTGTTGATTTTCTGGTTCATACAAGCATTGGTCGTTGTATTTTAATCGAGGCTGACAGACCTTTGGCGTGTTCTCTTCTAGAAGTGAATTTTGGACATTAAGTAAGTTAAAACTTTATATTTATATTTCAGATTTCTTATCAATAGCCCCCTCCAATAAATATGCTTCTCCTGTATGAATCTATAATAATCCATATGGGCGGATGTTCAAGCATCTCCATTTACCTTTTCCTCCCACTGTGTCTTTTAGATCTCACAAGAGATCTATCCATAAATAACTCGCGCTGTGGCTCCCAGCTTCGCTCTCCAGTTGAGTTTTTAAGCCTGTTGTTTTTGTACGGTTTGTGGCAATGTATCTTCATACTGAGGATACCCGGTTGGTAGTTTTCTGGTTGCTGTTCCCGTTTGGTTGTTTGGAGCTCGTACACATGCGTAGCGTCTTGAGAGGCTGCTTACGTTTATGTCCGCGATCATCTCCCGCTGGCTAGGAAACTCTCTTTGGAATCTCCGGATCATTCGTATATGTCTCTCTCCTCAATTCAGTAAGCTATCTCTTCTTTCACTACTATTCCCCTTCCACTCAAGACTGTTGTCTACTCGATAGCAATTCCGATAATATAGACAAAGTCATCTCTCTGCATCCGTTTGCAAACATATTCGTGTTCGGTGACTTTAACGACCCCTATAGCATATGGCTTAAGCATACTGTAACTGACGAGATCACAAGAATGAGATGATAGTCTGTTTCTGTTTAACTTGTACGTGTATTGCTTAATATATTGCACAGTAATTGTCATCTTTGATAAAGGCTTATGTAAGCCGAAAGCTTAGATTGGATTAAAAAAAAAAATATGTATCAATATTGTGATTTTCTTTCTTCGTTTAATGATAATGTTGTTAAGCTTATCAGACGTTATGAAAAGAATTTACATAAAATAAATAGACAACACTTGTCTATATTATTTAATGAAACATGTATGAACATATATATATATATATATATATATATATATATATATATATATATATATATATGTGTGTGTGTGAAAAGTGTATATAAATATAAATAAATATATACATGTATAATTATTTATATATTATATGCGCGGTACTTATTAGAAAGCGCTCAATATCAGAGATAGAGCTAACATATTTGGTTGGATAGATGTGAGTTTGTGACCCTGGGTTTCACGTTGTGTTTGTCTGACGATCGCTAAAGCGTGAAACCCAGGGTTACAAACTCACATCTATCCAACCAAATATATGTATGTATATATATATATACGAATAAAAAGACAAGAGGAAAAAAATATTCTTAGCCGATGAGTTTCCTCCTCTAAAGAACTTTATCAAGACAAATGTACGATTTATTTTGTTGCACGTGTTTATATACAAAAGCAAGGGTATCATTGGTTTATCAAAGCTTATCATTTTGATAACGTTCAGAAATATTCATCATATTCATTAACATATATATATATATATAAATATTGCCATAAAATTTTAATAATCAAAGATCATAGATGGAAAATAAGAAAAATAATGGAAGTACACAATGCAGTGAAGAGTTTCAGACAAAAGCGTACTTGTGGGCACGTGGTCAACGTTTTTCATTTTAAATTTTAAGTATGTGTGGACGTGATTGTGTAATATAAATGCATTCCTAATGATTTTGCTATCGAAAAGCAGTACAAATGATTAAAATATAAAAATATACATTGCAAGTTCAGTGGTGAAGAATTAATACAAAAGCTACTGACGGAAGGAGGCTTTTTTTATTTGATTGTAGAATTTCCTACAGAAACGCATCACGGATGAGAAAGAAAGTAATTGACATTACAGAATTAAGTTATGTATAAATTTAAAATCGGACCTTGGTAGTTGTATATTTCGACCATGATCACCAAATCAAGGAAAAGCAGTCGCGTTCTAATGTAATGTCGGTTTGTATTCTTACCTGATTGGTCATTGTAGACATTTATAAATCTGACCTTAATACACGCTTTTTATGGATTTTTCAGAAACAAACTAATTAAAAAAGAAAGAATATATTCCTGAGAGTAACACGCTAGGAAAACGACCCTAAAAATTAATTTTTCAACCAAGTTTCAAATTTATCGAGAGTATCCAGAAATGAAAGAAAAAAAAATTTAATTGCCTCTAAGGTTTTAAAATTAATTACTGTGCACAACACCCGAAATATCCCCCCCACTGCTAAACAAACGGGAAAGAAAAAGAACAAAAATGACATCGAGGGAAAAGAAGAGATAGAGAAAGAGAAAGAGAAAGAGGATGTGAAATGGGAAAAGAAAAAGAAAGAAAAGAACAGAAAGATGAAGGCAAGGGAGAGAAAAGAGAGAGAGAGAGAGAGAAGTAGGATAGAGATAAAGAAGAGGGATAGAAGACAAACGTGAAGAAGAAGAAGAAAGAAAGAAAGAAAGAAAGAAAGAAGAAGAAGAAGAAGAAGAAGAAGAAGAAGAAGAAGAAGAAGAAGAAGAAGAAATGCTATACAGTGAACTTATTGTCATGCGTTATACGAATAGCATGTTTCTTTGAACTTTCTCTGGGGCGGGTAATTTGAAGAGAAGAAGAAATGAGCAATTCCCGGCAGCAGACATCAGGGAAGCCAATTTGCTAACCAATGATGTAATAAATGAATGCGAAGCCTTCATCCTGAGATACTGAATATTTTCTGGTAAAATTGATTGTTTAATTGGTAAAGAGAAAAAAATCAGGTCCCAACGATAAGCAAGCTAATTGCTTGAGTTGTTTTGATTATATTTTGCAAAAACAATCTGCTTCATGAACCCGTGATCATTAATCACAGGAATGTTTGCAAAGCGAAAAAAATAATGGAAGTAATTAGTTGTTTAAGAAGTTGTTTTCAGACAGGCAATGTATTTCTTGCATGTTCCCGCTCTGAACTCCATATTCAGTTGTGTAGCTTAGTGAGTAAAGCAATGGCTTTGCCAACAAAAGGTTCGAATTTTCACCTAAAAATTATTTTACCAAAACTTTCCATTGTTTCACTATATGTGAAAGTGTAATAAAATGATTTTCTGCTCAGGATATATATATATATATATATATATATATATATATATATATATATATATATATAAGAAAATATACTCTTAAGGTGTGCTATATTTATGGGATAAAGTGCTCAATATCAGAGAGAGAGAGAGAGAGAGTGTGTAAATATAAAAGTGAACATTGAAGTCAACACTTAGAGGCCACAGGCTGTTTCATGCTAGACGCAATCGTCAGGTCACGAGTGTTTTTTTCTCGGCTATATACGGGTCAGTGGTGCATTGTGTGTAGTCTATTTTGGCGGTTATTTTGCTGGAAGTCGTTTATTTATTTATTTGGGTTAAATTATTTTCATTTTTTATTTTTATTTTTTATTTATATGTCTTATTTTATATATTTATTTATTCATTTATATTTTAATGACTGTTTTATTAACGTAGTAAAAATTTATTTATATCGCTTATTTAATAGTTTTGTTTTGGTTTGGGAAGATAATTAAAACTATTTACTCAATTTTGGGGTTGATTGTTGTAGTTTATTCTAACTATTATTTTGACAGGAGCAGTTTTTAATTTTTTTATTACTTCATTTATTTATTTGGATTGATTATCTTTACTTGTTTTTTCTAACGGTTAATTAATCGAGATCGGTTTGTTAGTTTATTTATTTATTTGGATTAATTTAGATTAATTTATTGTACTTGTTTATTATTATTTATTTATTATACTGTATATTTTAATTTACTCTTTTCGGTTTTCGGTTTTTAAGTAACGTAGTATTTTTTAGATACTATTTAATTTTAGAATAAATAAATAAAAAATTAAAAAAACAAAATCAATGAACCCAACGACATAAAGTAAATAATAAACAAATTAACAAACCATTATGACCAAGATATTAGTTAGACTATAAAAATCAAACCAAAAAATCGGACGAAAAACTTAGCTATAACTGTTATATAACGATAAAAAATACTATATATATATATGTGTGTGTGTGTGTGTGTATTTGTGCGTACCGTATATTTCCGCGTATAAGACGACCTTTAAATCCACAAAACCTTAAGTTTTTAGTGATGTTTATTGGTAGGCTAACCTCGACCTCTGTGCGATAACCAATAACGTATATGAAAAGATTCACATTATCAAATAAACTGATATTAAAAGTAATAAAACCATTTTTACCTTATATATATATATATTACTGGCATAACGTCATAATAAATTGCTATTCGAAGAATAATTCCATATCAATAAAATCAAATTATAAACAATTCTCAATTGAGAAAATGTAAACATCGAGTTATGATTGTGAAATGTTGAAAGTTGAATGTACTATCATCGTACCTTATCGTACTGTGATTAACTTTATTTTGTGATTGTCGATGAAGTAGAAGTAAATGGCCATTAGTACACCAGGCGGTAACTTTTTAGATATATAGAAAAAAGAGGAAGAGGAGGAAGAATCGCAGGTGTTCTTACGGTTTTGTATTAAATGCAAAGAACATCAGCTCATCCAGTAAAAATTAGGTTCTGTTGTAACTTTGCCTTGGTTTTTGCAAAAGTCGTAACAAGCTTTAGTTTTATCGATTTTTCTGCAAAAATCGGGGTTGGGGGGGCTAGAGATTAAAACATTACTGGTGACCTATGGTTGAAATTTGCAATGTGTGTGTGCAATTTAATCGAAATCACTTGAGAAATGTGGCCGTGCATAAATAGCATACGCACACATAGACACATAGACAAACACAGATATTTATAGATATAGAGAAACAATCGTTTTATACTACAGGTACAGGATAAATTCATGAAAATTTTCTATATTTTCTAACCTCGTCTTATCTAAAGTTTTCATTATACTCCGAAATATACGCGGTATATATATATATATATATATATATATATATATATATATATATATATATATATGATGTCACACATCATGAAATGGACAAAGTCCGACAATTATTTTAAGACATTTTCACAGAAAATATTCGTCCTCCGAAAGGATTCGAGCCTGTATTCTATACGGAACCGTCAGTTAGCGTGACGTGCCTTTACCGATTTGGCCACAGAGGAGCGTTCGGTTAGCAAGGTCGAATTTACTTCAATCTTCCATAAATCTCTCACGTACATTCATATCTGCTCATGGCGTATCAAATGTAAACAAATGACGTCACATATTATGAAATGGACAAAGTCCGACAATTATTTTAAGACATTTTTATGTTTATACATTCTTTTTATAGATACAAATATTTAAGTAAATGCTCTTTTTGTAATAAACAGTATTAAACAACATTTACCGGCTTGTATTCGGAGGACGAATATTTCATGTGAAAATTTTCGGATATTCATATATATATATATATACCATGTGTGTGTGTATATATATATATATATATATATATATATATATATATATATATATATATATATATATATATATATATATATATATATATATATATAAATATATATATATATATATATATAAAATATATACTATGTATATATATATATATATATATATATATATATATATAGGTTCATACACGTTTCATTAAATAATATAGACAAGTGTTATCTATTTATTTTATGTAAATTCTTTTTTTTATTATATATATATATATATATATATATATATATATATATATAAAGAACCTATAAACATAAAAATGTCTTAATATATATATATATATATATATTCATACATGTTTCATTAAATAATATAGACAAGTGTTGTCTATTTTATGTAAATTCTTTTCATAACATCTAATGTCTAATAACATTATCATTGAACGAAGAAAGAAATTCACAATATTGATCGATATTTTTTAATACAATCTAAGCTTTCGGCTTACATAAGCCATTATCAAAGATGTCAATTGCAATATATTAAGCAATATACGGACAAGACAGTGATGATAGTCTGTGATTGTTTACATAGATGATTTCTAAGCAACGATAAACACGTGCATATAAGACGCTAGAAGCGAAAATCGCACCGCATCTCATGACGTGAATTGGAGAAGTATGAAGTATGGGAAGCCATTGGCATAAACCAATGGCTTCTGTTACCAATTATAGACATTTAATGATATTTGTAGAGATTCCATGATTGATATTGTTTAGGTTGGGTTTCAACTGTTTGATGAATAATGCTTCAAGGATTTTTAGTTGTTGTCTATTGTTTTCATGTCGAAGTATAATTGTGTTTTCGACTGTATTTTACGGAATTGTGTGTGCGGGCAGGCATGTTGTTTTAAATGCCTAAAAATGTTAGAGTTTTCATTCAAATGTAGTGTCAAATGTAGTGTCAAGCGTTGTGAAAGCGAGTTTGTGGTGTGAACAACATAAATATTATTTAATTCGTTGGAGATACATTCTCCCAAAGGGCACTTGAATTTATAAACTATGTTGGTTTTTTGCAAATCACTAACCGGAGGAGAAGAATCATTGCTAAGAATTAAGTTGGATATACTAGATTTAGTGTAGTATATAATTAATTTAATATTTTTTGCTAGGATCTGTAGTTGATATATTAGTATTTACTAAATTTTTGTTTATAATTAGCATGCATTTGATTACGATATAGGAGATTAATATGTTTGAGATCAGTAGAAGCAGTATTATGTACTATTTGCTTAGTGCTGAGATTTCTAAGAAAGCATCTTATTTGTTCATCAACTATATAGTTTGGAAAGCTATTATTAATAAGTGTCTGTTTTATATTCTTTAGTTCACTGTAAAAATCTGTTTTGTGGATGAATTAGTTTCTGCACGATGTATTAGATTCTTTATAATTGCTATTTTGTAGTAATATGGGCATTCGCTCTTGTAGTTAAGTGTACATGAATTTATGCTTGTATGTTTTTTGTATGGCGAAATAGTAAATTTGTTATTTGTGTTTATCAATATGTCAAGGAAGGGGATTTTATTATTAGTATTGAGTTCATATGTGAATTTAAGGACAGAATTATTTTGGAAACGTTTTTGAAGTTGAAGTATTTCATCTGTATTTTTAACTAACATAAGAATATCATCAACGTATCTTAGGTAGATTGATGGTTTTTTTTTTTAAATCTGTAAATATCTTATTTTCAAGGTTCGACATGTAGAAATTGCTAAATGTCGGACCCAGTACTGAACCCATGGAGACACTATCACGTTGTATATATATATATATTGTTATTATGATCGAAGAAAGGGACTTCAGTAGTACAAGCTAATAGTAGTTTTCTTAATATATTAGGATTAATTTTAAGTAGGGATAAAGATGAGTTACTGTATATATTTCTTATAATTATGTCAATAGTTTCACTAACAGGCACATTGGTAAATAAGTTTTCAACATCAAGTGAAGCCATGATTTCATTGTCAGGTTTTTCACTTTTTAGGATTTGGATTACTTCTAATGTTGAATTAACACTATATTTACTAGAAAGGTAGGGAGTAATAAGTTGGTTAATGCATTTTTTTTAGATGATATACAG